GGCACACATACACACACACACACACACACACACACACATATATATATATATATATTATAAATTAATTGATTTAAAATATGTTTTTTTTCGCTACACAGTTCCAACCATGTTTCAAAAATAGAAGCTAAAAACCCCGAATTTACTAAATTAAGTAACCATTTTTGCCGTCATAGTCATAAATTTAAAAAAAAAAAAAATGTAACCTCATATACATACTTAAACTTGATGTTAAAATAATCCCACATAATATAATGGATTCTAATACATTTAACTGTTCTTAAAAAGAATATAGTAAAATAAAAATTAAAAAGGAGAATATTTCAAATCGTAGTTAAATAAAAAGTATTAGGAAAAAAAAAAAAAAAAACGAAAATCTTTAAATTTAAAAAATAACGTTGAAATTTTTTACCGTTAACAATTTAAAAAAAAAAAAATTCAGACGACATCCATTCAACTGATGTCAGGTTTCATTGTAAAATACATCCCTACCCCTTACCAAATTGTAGCTAATAACTGATACAATGATACTGACATAAGGAATCTAGACATCCCTTGTTCAATTTAAGTAGAATATTCTGTAACCATGGAAACGTGATTTTAGCCGTGTCTTTTAAAACCCGGTAATTTTAAAAGTTACTCCAAAATTCGCTTGAAGATGAAATGGAACTAATGCTTTTAATTTAATTGCAAAATTAAATTCGGGGTTTTAGCTTCTATTTTTGAAACATGGTTGGAACTGTGTAGCGAAAAAAACATATTTTAAATCAATTAATTTATAATATTAATGCTCTGTAAATTTACATTGAGCACTATTTTGTAAAAATAAAAATATCTATAAGAACACCGGATTTTTATATATATATACCGCTAATTAGTTTTTGTAAAACCCTTCATTTTCAGACCAATGTTTTTAATATAGTAATTAAGAAACTGAGGTACCTTGAAGTACCCGAGCGGTGGCTAACACCTCTACCAGACGTATGAGTTGACAAATGAACTCGTTTCAAGATCAGAAAGGCATAAAAAGAATCGAGATAAACGCATCTGATGCTGGCTTTAAACGTTATGTTTGGACGTGTTTATAAAGCCGTGTCTTAAAAAAGACCCTTTCGGTAAAAACGTTTATGCATGTGTTCAGTAAAATGAATACCAGCGCTCTGACTGACAGGCGTTTTTATTTATGTTTTTTTTCTTTATTTCCATTCATAAAAACAATACGCTAGAATTAGCAGTTTCTCTCTGCCGAGTAATGACGGCTTAGGAGTAGAAACTCCGACTGACACCAAATCGGTCCTTGAGGCTTTCGGACATCCAGTCACAATGAGGACACAGTACTGTCTGCGAATGAAATATATATATATATATATATATATATATATATATATTAGTTGTGTTTGTATGAACAATATCCGAACAAATGTGGAATTAATGAGACAAAGAGGAACATCTATTTTCATGTTTCACCAATTTATAGTCGGGGCGTTCAGGTCAGAATAAGAAACAAACCCATGTCTTATACTTGAAGACGCCTAATTTATAGTAGGCGTCTTCAGGTCGTAATAAATTCCAACCTGAAGACGCCTACTATAAAGAGTCGAAATGCGTAGTCTGAATATCTTTTCCATTTTGTCTCATTTTTCCACGCACACACGCATATATATATATATATATATATATATATATATATATATATATATAATCTATGTTAAAATTATATATATATATATATATATATATATATAATATTTAACGTAGCTTATAAATTGCCAGTGACTCTAGAGACAGTTTACTCGCTTCTAATGTAAAATTAAATCAACATATGCCAAGATTAAAATTTTCGAATATCATTCTGTACCCCTGAGATATAACTGTGGCGCCCTGTAGTTTCATGCTACACATTTAGAAACCCTCCAATCTAGTTTACTAATTGTTATGGTAATTTACCCACGCACTCATGTAATCTCCCCGCTATAAATAGGAGCAGGTACTGCCTTTTGGAGAGCCATTATTCAGCAACAGTCAGAGCGAACATTCTTGCTGTAACACTATCGTTTGTATATGTTTGTATTACTGTTTCTGATATAATTGTGTAAATCAATTCCTCCCTCGTGTCTTTATTTCTGGCCCTAACAAGGCCACAACACTAATATAAAAATGATTTAATGTAATATCTGATTCAGTGTTGTTGATGCGAGAAAATATTCATACGTTGCATACACGTCGGTCAGTCTGCCCGTAATCTAGATTTTGACGGTATCCATGAGCGGTATATTTTATTTATATAAAAATATGTGCATTCTTCGACGTGTTACCAACTTATCTCCCTAAATTAATAAAGATCTTATCGTGAGTTTGCTCCTCACTTGGTGCTCCATACTTCGCTACGTTTTGTGTGTAGCTATTCGCATTTAGGGGCGCCATGACGTGTTGTAATGGTTAGCAAGCTTGACTCGCTAGAACAATTACGACTGAGTAGTGAGTTCGAGCCTCACTGGATGCCCCCTACTTTCGGCCTTGTGCTACAGTTAGAAAAGTACTATAACTATTTATACTTAGGTACGCTTAGTATAAATCTTTTGTAAATAAAATCAGAAGCTATATTCAATGCAATTTGATTACTGTTTATAAGTGAGGTTCGACCGTTTCTTTTATAGTCGAGTAGTTCGAGGGTGGGGCAACAATTATGGCTGCCTTCACCACAAGATGAAAAAAAACTCTATTTAAGTAATTTGACTATTGTCCATAAATGAGGTTCGATTATTTCTTTTAAAATCGAGTAGTTTGAGGGGGAGGCAACTATAGTTGCTTTTTTCCACAAGAAAAAAAAACAAACTATATTCAATGCAATTTGACTACTGTTCATTAGTGAGGTTCGACATATTTCTTTTAAAGTTGAGCAATTCGAGGCGGGAAACATCTATGGTTACCTTCACCACAACAATATAAAAAGATTTAACTTCCGTCCGTTGAGACTTTATCAAGGATTTTGAAAACTCTTTCATATTTTTCAAGCTCAGATGTCAGCCCACCCGTAAGCTGTGTTTTAATGGTTTCTATATTCGGCACGATCTCTATGAAAGTGATTGAATCTAACTCCTTTGAGATAAAATCTTCGGTTTTAATCATTTTTCATACGTTGCCTGTCAAGATGATAACCGTTTGTATATGCGCCACGTTTAATATAAAACGGATTTTCATTTTAAAACTCGGAGAAAAATGAATGATATCAAAAACTTGACATAACCTGCACACTCGATAGAGTTCAACCATTAGCTAGACTGAAACGGTTTATTTAAATAGCCTGATTATATAATATAAAAAGTATATAATTTCTTCCTTTCTACAAATATCAGTGATTTCACAATTTATTTCAAGCATATGCACTTGGTCAATCCGCCCGTTAGCTAGAGTAAACTGTTTCTATTATTGGTAGGATTTTATTTTTTATTTTTGTCTATATTTCTGAGATGAGGTATTTTACCTATTTACACGAGTTACATTGTTCGGACTGTTGCCCTCATCTTTGTTGCCATATTCACAACGTTTCGGTCGTTATACGCTCCGACATTCTTCAGGATCTCTTTATATTTCTGAGATGAGGTATTGTAACCATTTACACTATTTACATTGTTTGGACTGTTATCCTCATCTTTGTTGTTATATTTGCGTCGTTGATTGGAATTTCGAACCGAATCCATTATTTCGTCCACCCAAGTATATTCTTCTAGTTCCACGTTCCATGTCTCTTTCGGATATCTCAATTTCAGTTATTTCTCTTTAGCAATTGAACTCTCTAAATTTTTGTTCACCTTTGCCGTGGCCAGGTATTGAACTCGAACTCTTTAGGGTCAAGTCACTGGATTACTTCAACCTATGTTTTTATCCTCTGGGCAATGTGTTTTAATTTTTGTAAATCAATTCACCCCAAACAAGGTGATAATTCTAGTCAAACACAAGAGAATACTGGAATCGAAACACTTCAGAAGAAACCGGAAACCCAATCCTAAACAGAGAACAAGGAATGGACCTCTACTCCTGTTCAAAAGACCGAAGATGTGTGCGAAACGAACATTCCCATCGAGGAGAAGAAGAGATAAAAAGGAAATAAATAAATAATAAATAAAGTTCCAGAGTTTAGTTGGAAACGCCAGAAGTATGCAGTTCAAGTACTGTGAAGTTACCCCACTTGATTTCCTAAAGATAACCGCAGCTAGGGGATGCTACCTAAGCCTATACATCCTCTTTTTTCTATTTCATCCTGGAACGGTAGGATGCAGCTCGAACGTAGGAAACGCTTTTCCACCTGGGAATGCACACGGGCGCGCACACACACACACACATACGCACGCACGTACGCACCTTTCACTTCACTTTCACTAGGACCTTCTCCTACACATAAACGTAATCTTTAGTCATTAATAATTTTTTCATTCATGTTCATTGTTTAAATCTTTAATTGTCTATGTAAACCTTTCATTTGTTAATACAAACATTGTCACTTGTTTCTATATATAGTTTTGTCGTTACTTTTTTCTTATTACGCGGACTCATATTCCGAGTCCGCTATTTTTGTTGCGAGATAAAGTACCAGAAGACACGTGATTTCCACCCAAATTCAACAGTAGATTTTACAAGGAACCGGAAAACCATTCCTAAACAGGAATCAAGCAATAAACCTCTAGAGTATTTCAAAACGCATGGGAGGGGTATGAGCGGGGCGATAGACGAACCTATATAAAAGCGATATAATTTTAATGCATTCAGCCAATATCAGTCATCATGAAAATTATTCACAACCTACACATTACATAGGCCAAAATAGTTTCTATTAGCAGAAGGCTTACAACCATATCCCTTTCTCGTACAATCAGTGAAGTTAGGCAACGTCGACACTTGTCAGTAACTAGATGGGTGACCGCCTGCGAAAACCAGGTGCTGTAAACTTGGATGTGCAAGTGGTGCAATAGATGATATCTCGGAATTGTTAATCGGAGAGCAGAGTTCCCGTACGATCACTGAAGTTAAGCAACGTCAAGCCTGGTCTGTACCTAGATGGGTGACCGCTTGAGAATACCAGTTGCTGTAAACTTGAATGGGCAAGTGGTGTAATCGATAACGGCTCGGAATTGGAAATCAATGAACCGTGTTCCAATTGCAGTCGTGTTCGTTTATTTACTTACGCGCGAATAACCTCCTCTTCTTCCCCCCAGCTATGGATTAATTAGTAGGACTTGTGTCAGTCAATCCTTATTATCTCCAAAATGATTCTTACAATCTAAAAATATTTTCTGGCTTTAAATAACCTGCAAAATGTTGATAAGCCGTAAAAAAACACACCTCCCTAAAGATATGACCGCACCTCCTCTCCCATCACCAGCTATATATAAATTAGAAGAATTTGTATCAGTAAAATATTGTTTTGATTTGGTTTGGTTTGTTTTACAGCATATCAACCTTAGCGTGTTATTTAATACTAACAAGATTTTTATTACTGGTAATAATTTTTTACAAAAATGTTTTGCTGGAATTAAGACTTATTTTAACACGTTTTGGCCCCAGTTTGGGGTTTAACTCGTTCCCCATAGCTGGGACCCTAACAGGTGCTACCACCCCGGGGTCAGGGTGAACCTGGGAAGACCAACAATTAAGAGGTGGTTCCACGCTCCTCAAAACCTCCTGATCAGAGGCCTTGCTGCCGGATGTAGTCTATCGTCATATCCAGGACAGTAAATCCTTGTTATATACAAAATGATTCTTACAATCTAAAAATATTTTCTGGCTTTAAATAACCTGCAAAAAGTTGACAAGCCGTAAAAAAAAAACATACCAACCCATCAATCTATTAGCGGCTGGATTGAATTAAATGAAAACTAGATAAAGCATTTAGCTAATATAAGCCATCTTAAAATTATTCGAGATCTACATATTTACATAGACTAAAACAGTTTACATCAAGAACTGCGCAGTCTTCCCTTTCCCATCGCGATAGATTTAAGAAAAGAGTCACAACATCCGTCAGAGGCCTCACGTTGCCCTATCGCGATTGGAAAATGTTCAGACGAAGTACATTCATTAGTCTCACCGTTTCTAACCTTCATGTCTAAATCTCCTCCCTAAAGATATGACTATATTTAGTCACCACCCCACGTGGGCATCAGATGGCACATGGCCGGTTTAACGTGGGATCTCCGAGCCCGTGGGCTCGGACAAAAATATGCCCATTGAACCCGTATAAACGTGTTCAGCGTCGGTTTACCTCCCCGAAAGAGATTCCGCCCTTCGGCGTAGCCTCGTTCGGGTTCCTCCGCGCCCGAAGGCAGAGAGTTCAACCGAACAGCCGGTCAGGACTTGAGCGACTGACCCTAAAGATATGACCGTACCTCTTCTCCCATCACCAGCTATATATAAATTAGAAGAATTTGTATCAGTAAACTATTATTTTGATTTGGTTTGGTTTGTTTTACGGCGTATCAACCTCAATGGGTTATTTAATACCAACAAGATTTTTATTCCTGGTAATATTTTTTATCTATCTATTTTTCATACCTGAACGTACCTATTCTATTATTAATAGACTCTCCCACACATAATAAGTAGTAGTAGTAGTAGCGATTGCCAGTTGGGCTCAGTGGTGTTGAGTGAGTCAGTCGATGTCGGACATTGAAGTATCAACCATCACAACTAGATTGCTGCGTCATTAACTCTTATTTCAAGTTCCTAACGTTTTGTACGTCGAACCTAATTTAGGACAACTTATTGAAATACAAGCCTCCACTGTGATAACTACTCTACAACACTTTTGGTTTGTTTTGTTTTGTTTTACAGCATATCAACCTCAATGGGTTATTTAATACCAAAAAGATTTTTATTGCTGGTAATATTTTTTTAAAAGTATTTTCGCTAATATTTTTTTTTTTAAATATTAATTTTCAAAAAAAGTATTGCTGGTAATAATGTATTGCTAATAATAAGTTTCTTCAAAAATTTATTGCAGGTAATAATTTTTTACAAAAAAGTTTTGCTGGAATTAAAACCAATTTTTACACGTTTTGACTCCAGTTTGGGGTTTAACTATTTGCCCATAGCTGGGACCCTGAATGGTGCTGCCACCGCGGGTCAGCAATTAAGAGGTGGTTCCACGCTCCTCAAAACCTCCTGATCAGAGGCCCTGCTGTCGGATGTAGTCTATCGTCATTTCCAGGACGGTAAATCATTATTATCTCCGAAATAATTCTTACAATCTAAAAATATTTTCTGCCTTTAAATAACCTGAAAAAGGTTGATAAGCCGTAAAAATAATCAGTCAATTAATCTAAACCTGTAATTAATATAGAATTTTTCAGAAACTTTAATTTTACCAGATTTTTGTTTTAATTTTGATAATTAATCCCGAAATTTATGTTCAGCTCTCGTGGGTCTGTTAAATTTTTTCAGACTATTACTGATGTCTTCAGTGCAATTTTCGCTATTAACTAAACGGCGTTACGATCGAATTAGGGAAAAGCTGGGCAGATTATTGCGAGACAGGAGGATTTCTTTGGTAACTAAGAAAAGAATGATAAGCTGTTACGTTTCTGTCCTACTTTAGGGCAGTGAATGTTGGATTGTCTCCTCAAAGATTGTTATGGAGTGATTTCACAGTGGAGGCTTGTATTTGTACTAAGTCGGTCCTAAAATAGGTTCGACGTACAAAACGTTAGGAACTTGATATAATAGGTAATGACGCAGAGTAATTTAGTTGTGGTCACTGATACTTTAATATCCAACTAACGGTCGTCTGACATCGACTGACTGACCAACTCACTTAGCGACTATATTTAGTCACCCCCCCTCCACGAGGGCATCATGTGGCGCAAGTCCGGTTTAACGTGGGATCTCCGAGCCCGTGGGCTCGGCCAAAAATATGTCCATTGAACCCGTATAAACGGGTTCAGGGTCGGTTTACCTCCCCGAAAGAGAATCCGCTCTTCGGTGTAGCCTCGTTCGGGTTCCTCCCCGCCCGAAGGCAGAGAGTTCAACCGGTCAACCGGTCGTCCGACTTCAGACTGAACTCAGACCGACTCACTGAGCGACTGACTTGTTACTCTTACTACTACTTATTATAGGTGGAAGAGTCTATTAACTATAGAATAGGTGTGTTCCACTATAACAAAGATGAAGAAGAGACTCGAGACGACGGAGATGTGGTTTTACAGAATGATGCTGAGGATATCACGAACCGAGCGTGTGAGCAACGATGAGGTCCCGGAAAGGATGCAAACAAGGAGGAGTCTTATACATAACATCAGGAAGAGGCAGCTGAAGTTTTTGGGACACGTAATGAGAAAGGAGGGCCTGGGAAATCTGATACTCACAGGTTGAATAGAAGACAATGAAAAGCAACGCATAACATATCTGGCGGGCTTAAGCAAGTGGATGAAAAGAACGTAGTCTGGGTTGGGGAGGTGGCAGAAGGATGAAACTTATTGTGAGCTACAGGGGATGGAGGAAGTGGAGAGCCATGATCGCCGACGTCCTGAAATGGCATGGGACATAAAAAGAATAGAAGAAGCTAGAAAAAATTGTCCAAATGTTCATGAGCTATTTACTGTGTCTCATCGGGGCGTAGGTGATCATGGCTCTCCACAACTTTCTATTCTTTTTAGCTCTTAATAAATTTTGTTTATTTTATTATCTCTCCTAAATCCTTTCCCGCCATTAATCAAGCTTACTACGTATCCTATGCCTTAATTCAGCTGCCCCTCTTATCTTTAACCTTTCCTGTGGGTAACAGACTTCCCAAGCCCTTCTTACTGATCATGTGCCCTAGAAATCTCAACTGTCGCTTCCTAATGTTAAGTATAAGTTTCCTTTTTGGTTCCATTTTATCCAAAATTTCGTCATTGCTCACATTTTGGTATTCTCAGTATCCTTCTGTAGAACGACATTTCAGTTACGCCAAGTCTCTTCTTCATCGTTGGGGAGATTTTCCAGCATTCACTGGCATATTAAAGGACCGGTATTACGTAACAGTTCAGTATTCTTTTCTATGAACTTGCTTGTCTTTAAATTCAGTATTCAGAATTACAATATTGACCAGGGCTTGAACGTCTCTCGTGGCGCTGAAAGAAAAAAGCACACCCAGCAATTTTAATCAACAAGAATGCCGGATTGAAAAACCTGGGTCGCATTTATTTAATAGAGAAATCCTGACACCGACATTAAGCACACTATTTCTTTTCCATAGAAATGTGTCCACAGCCAGAGCAGCTGCCAGGCTGATGACAATCTGGGTATTTTTTTTATATGTTTCCCACTTGTACATGCAAGTTCTTTTCTGAATAAATTAATAATTCAGTTATGTTTTTCCTTTCCATGTGAACACAATGGCAGCGACATTCAAATCTGTAAAAAGTGTTACATGCCTTGAAAGCTGACAAAGACAAATCTAAGAGAACTCGATCTGACACCAAACAAATCTTTTTAAACTCTTTCTGTTTGCTACGAAGCTGTGACATGGTCGGATTATATTATTTCAAGACGTTGTCAGCGAAATACACCAAATTATATTCACTGAATAAGAACTGAAAACGTTATGTAACTTTTTGCTAGTAACATTTCAATCAGAATATCAGATTAATTTTTTCATACGCAAATTAGTTGTTCATTCACTTTGGGACTCCATCAAATTAACGTCGGTCGTGGTGGGTATGTGGTTTTTCGGGGAATTTTTTGAACGTTTAATCTTCCCTTTTCAAGGATATGAGAGACTTCTACTTCGTGATTCGGTTGTTTACAAAACTGCCTGTCTTCTCTATGAGTGTATATTCTATATTCACCTGGGTTTAGCTAATGATATTCAGTTGAGGCCAGATTTTGCACCTGGTTGTTAGGAGAATACCAGCTAATTCCAGCCTCCGAGGCACCTAGCTCTTTTGATATTCTGATGTGATACCAAGCACAAAGCTTACTTTGACATTTATTAGGGTGATCCTACTAAATATGAGGTTCTCCACAGAACAGATTCTTAGATCAAAGTTCATGATTGATATGAAAATAATCATAGCAAATAAAGGGTGTTTGATTTAGACGGATCAAAGTCAGCAT